TCTATCCATCCATCCTACCCTACCCCCGAGGATCTGTTCTCAAGGGATTTCTTTTTAACCCCTTCTGAAAATAGTACAGTGAACACTGGATCAGCTCAGGCAGGTTTGGGTTTAAATCTCTCTTTCCTCAGGGTTCCTGTGGCTCACACCTGTAACCCCAGCTACTCAGGAGAGGCTGAGTTCTGAAGAACAAGGTTCAAAGCCAGCCCAGGGCAGGAATGGCCCTTGGAGATTCTGATGTCCAATGAAGCATCAAAAAGCCAGAAGCAGAGCTGTGGCTCAAGTAGTAGAGCACCAGCCTCGAGAAAAAGAAAGAAAGAAAAGCTAAGAGACAGAGCCCAGGACCTGAGTTCAAATCCTAGTCCTAGCATTCACACACAAAAAGAAAACCAGGAAAGCCTCTTCTTCTTCTTCTTCTTTTCTTCTTCTTCTTTTCTTCTTCTTCTCCTTCTTCTCCTCCTCCTCCTCCTTCTTCTCCTTCTTCTTCTTCTTTTTTGCTAGTTGTGGGGTCTGAACTCTGGGCCTGGGCGCTGTCCCTCAGCTCTTCAGCTCAAGGCTAGCGCTCTACCACTTGAGCCACAGCGCCACTTCCGGCTTTTTCTGCTTATGTGGTGCTGAGGAATCAAATCCATGGCTTCATGCATGCAAGGCAAGCACTCACTAAAGCCACATTCCCAGCCCCTCTCCTCCTCTTCTTGAACCACAGGACAGGGAGACGCTGGGGAAGGCCAGACAAACCAGAAGGGCTCCCTTACTGCCCAGGCTGGAGGGCCCTTAGGTCCTTGGGCAGGTCATGACCTTTGGGGCTCAGTTTGAAAGTGTGTAAAATGAGAAGGTTGGGCTACATGAGCTCCTAAGTTTGCCCAGACCCCTACCTGCAGGCTGGGGTGATCTATCAGCCCATCTCAGGCAGGGAATTGAAGGATTCTTTTGTTGCAGCTCAAGGGAAAAAGGCTACATACAGCATGCTTTCCTCTCATGGTGGTCTACCCCTCCTCTTCATTTTAGGGGGTCTGGTCTCCATCTGCCCACCCCAAGTCCCCAAGGGCCTCTTGATCGCTGTCCCCCCCCTCCTCACATTCCAGTGGCCTTGGGGCAGCAGCCAGACCAGAAAGTCCAGTTCCTGTCCATTATCACCGCCAGCATCTCCTTGCAACCCAACACCAGCATTCCAGAGAGTGGCCCAGGGCTGCCCACCACCCACCCATGGTCAGTGTCAGTGTCCAGCTCTGAGACAGACCCTAGCCAGGGGCCAGGTTCTCAGATTCCTCTCCTTTCAGTGACCGCCTGCCTCCTGCTGTGTGTGAGGGTAGGGGCAGGGGGGGGGCTGCAAAAGAGACCCTTCTTTTAAGATACTCTTTGAACCCCATCTTTTTGCTCTCTGCAGCAGAATTCTGAGCCCAGCAGGTGAGAGAAGAGTCCAGAAGATTCAAAAGAAAGGCAGGATGAAGCACAGAGCAATGAAAGCAGGGAGAGGAGCTGGGGAGGAAGAAGGTGGGCAGGGCCAAGCAGGAGAAACTGGGGTCTGGCTCTATCTGAAACAAACACAATGCCCGGTGCTGGTGGCTCACGCCTGTAATCCTAACTACTAAGGAGGCTGAGATCTAAGGATCCCAGTTTGAAGCTTGACCTGGTAGTGAAATTCAAAACACTCTTAATTCCGGGCTGGGAAGGTGGCTCAGTGGTAGAGCCCTTGCCTTGCATGCCTGAGGCCCTGGGTTCGATCCCCCAGCACCACATAAGCAAAAAGAAAAAAGCTGGAAGTGGCACTGTAGCTCAAGTGGTAGAGCGCTAGCCACGAGCTGAAGAGCTGAGGGACAGCGCCCAGGCCCAGAGTTCAGGCCCCACGACTGGACCAAAAAAAAAAAAAAAGACTCTTAATTCCAATTAACCACCAAAAAGCTGGAGGTGAAGGTGTGGCTCAAGTGGTAGAGCACCAGCCTTGAGCAAAAAAGTCTATAAAGCTCTGAGTTCAAGCCCCAGAACACACACTCTCTGTCTCTGTCTGTGTGTGTTTCTCTCTCTCTCTCTCTCTCTCTCACACACACACACACACACACACACACAGATCTCTGCGTTCCTTGCTTGTGACAAGGCTCCGGCCAGAGAAACTTGGAGTGCCATTTTGAGTGGAATCATCCAGTCCAGTCTTTAAACAAAGACAACACTGGTCTGTCTGGTTTTCCATTCTGGGCATCCATCTATCCCAGTCTATTTTTTTGTTGTTTTGAACTCAAGGCCTGGGCACTATCCTTTAGGATTTTGGGGGTTTTGTTGTAGTTGTTTGGTGCAGGTTTTTTGTTTTGTTTTGTTTTGTTTGCTTAAAACTGGCATTCTCCCACTTGAACCACAGCTCTACTTCTGGCTTTTGGGTGGTTAACTGGAGGTAAGAATCTCACGGACTTTCCTGCCAGGGCAAGCTTCGAACCTCCATCCTCAGATCTTAGCCTCTTGAGTAGCTAATATGACAGGCGTGAGCCACTAAAGTCCAGCTTTCAGTCTATTTTGATTAAGGCATTAGAGAACAGCCTTCCAACTACTGTGCAAATCTCTCTCTCTCTCTCTCTCTCACACACACACACACACACACACACACACACACACACACACACACTTCAGCCCTTGGGGACTCTGAAGAGGCAAAGGGAAAGGCAATACAAGAAGGCCAGGAGTGAAAAAGTCCTTTCTCCCTGGGGGTGGGGAGGGGGCAGAGGGTTAAGGGGGGGAAGGGGGGGCCCTGTTTCATTTGCAGGCTGCAAATGCCTCTTCTATTCACCGGCCCACATTCCCAGCCCAGGCGCCTGGCCACTGACAATGCGGGGACAGGAACAGAGAAGATTTGCACATTGTGTTTAAGGGGCCAGCTGGCTGCCTGGGACAGTGCAGCCAAGGTGTGGGAACCAGAAACTCTCCCCGTCCACACTCAAATCCTGCGGGCGGGGTGAGGGGGAGCCTGGGGCTCAGAAAGTGGGGCCTCCTCCTCCACAGTCAGGGTCCAAATGGGCTACAGCCTCTGTCTAAGCAGAGAGGAAAGGCCAAGGCAAGGAGTCAAGATCCAGGTGCAGAGGGGACTGAGCCCAGCTGGTGAGGGAGAGCGAGCCTAGGTCCTCTAGAGATGAATCATCACCCCAGGATCCTGCCCATCCTCCCTGCCCCCAGTTCTGGTCCTTTGAGCCATCAATTCTGAGATGGAGGAGAGAAAGATCAAAACAAGGAGCCCAGAGGCGCTGGTGGCTCACACCTGTAATCCTAGCTACTCGGGAGGCTGAGATGTGAGGATCGTGGTTTGAAGGCAGCCCTGTTATGAGAGCCCATGAGATTCTTATTGCCAATGAACCACCAGAAAACTGGAAGTGGCGCTGTGGCTCCAGTGGTAGAGCGCTCGCCTTGAGCTGAAGAGCTGAGGGACAGGGCGTGGGGGAGAGATCTGTGAAAGGTCTAAGCTGCAGCTCACCCTGACACCTCACAAGGATCGCATTGAAGTCTATTGAGATACAAAGAGAGCCCCTCTGGTCTAGAGATCACACGCCCAACAGACAGGGCCTGAGATCTGGATGTACACATGTGTCTTCCGGCTGGAGTGTATTGGGTAAATTGTGCGTCTACCAGCCAATGGGGCTGAGCAGACCTCTCCCTCATTGACTCCTGGGGGACAGGCAGAAGCTGTGGGAGGGGGGGCGCTAGAAGCCCCTCACCCCTTTTTGGAAAGCCACCTTCCCACATCACACGCCACATCTGTAATGCCAGCAGGCAAAAATGGGCAGGGAGTGATTTCCCCAAGGAAGAAAGGCAGGCAGCCAATCAGGCTGGAAGCTTTCTAGGGACACCAGCCAATGGAGTGAGAGAATGGAATCCAGCCACGTGGTTGCTTGGCATCCAAGCATGTCCCCAGGGGGCCACAGCCTGGCAGGGGGGGGGGAAGGCCACCTCAGACTGCCAGTGCTTAGAGGCAAAGCCTTCAGCTCTCTCCAGAAACCCAGAGAACAAGCCAGGCCCACCCTCCACACAGCTGAATTCCTCACACTGCTAGAGCGGAAGGAAAGCAAACAGATTGCAGGTATTATCATTTATAGAAAACCAGGCACTCAGCCGGGCGCTGGTGGCTCACGCCTGTAATCCTAGCTACTCAGGAGGCTGAGATCTGAGGATCGAGGGTTCAAAGCCAGCCCGGGCAGGAAAGACCATGAGACTCCTATCTCCAATAAATCACCAGAAAACCAGAAGTGGTGCTGTGGCTCAAGTGGTAGAGCGCTCACCTTGAGCTGAAGAGCTGAGGGACAGCGCCCAGGCCCAGAGTTCAAGCCCCACGACCGACAAAAAAAAAAAAAAAGAAAGAAAAAATGTTTCCCATGAGTTCTTCTCCATACCCCACCCCTTCTTAAGCTCCTGAAGATTTACCCACTAGGATCCTAGGTTGGCTAGCTTCTTTTTTGGTTTTCTGTACTGATCCTGGGGCTTGAACTCAGAGTCTACGTACTCTCTCTTAGCCTTTTTCAGTCATTACTCTACCACGTAAGCCACAGCTCTACTTCCTGCTTTTCGGTGGGTAAATGGAGGTAAGAGTCTCAAGGACTTTCCTGCCCAAGCTGGCCTTGAACTGCGATCCTCAGATCTCAGCCTCCTGAGTAGCTGGGATTACAGGCATGAGCCACCCACCGGTGCCTGGCTTGACTAGCTGCTAGTACTCAGCACTGGAGCAGGCCATGAAGGCTAGGAAGCATCAGTCTGGGAAGGCTCAAGTCCTGCTCTGGTCCCCAGCCTCTGTCCACGAGTCTCTTCCTCACACTCAGCCATCTGCTGCGAGGCTGCACCAGGCTCCCCTGCAGTGCCAGGAAGGGAGGGTCAGGACAAGGGTGTCTGAGCCAGAAGGGATTCCATCTCCAAGTCCAGGGCTGCTTCCCAGCGAGCTCCATATGGGGGCCTGGGTCAGCCTTCCTCAGAACAAAGAGACATCTTCAGCCCAGCAAGAGGGCCCCTGCTTCCAACAATTCATCACTCACCAGCCCTTCAGAGCAATGGGACGGGTACGAATGCCCTCAGAGCCAGGAAGAAACTTGTCGGCTTGCAAGGAGAGAGGCAGCGTGCCATGGGAGTGCAGTGGGGTGGGGTGGGGTTCAGGCTACCGATGCTGAAGCCATGGCTTCTCTGCTTCCCAGAATGTCAGGGAAAGCCAGGCACTGGTGACTCACGCCTGTAATCCTGGCTACTCAGGAGGCTGAGATCTGAGCATCAAGGTTCAAAGCCAGCTGGGGCAGGAAAGTCCCATGAGGCTCTTATCTCCAATAATCCACCAGAAAACCAAAAGCGGTGCTGTGGCTCAAGTGGTAGAGCGCCAGCCTTAAGCACAAAGAGGCTCAGGGACAGTGCCCAGGCCCTGAGTTCAAGTCCCATGACCAACCAATACACACACACACACACACACACACACAAGCCAAAGCATCTTTGATAGGGACAGATCACTCTCTGAAGTCGAGAGATATGGGAGGGAGAATATTTTCACTTGACAACATCTGTGTCCTTTCTCAAGAGCGGAGATTGTCCCCCCACAAACCCCACAGCTTCTCAGCTTGCCGTTTTCCTTATAACGCACAGATAAGTTGGGTTTACTTATCACTCTCAGTGTGTACAAGTTAAATAACAGGATTTTCAAGCACAGCCACCTTTTAAATCAACACAACTGTGGGCGATCTATCAGCAACAGCAAAGCACAGTGGTAAGGCCAAAATATTGCCTGGCCTTTTCTCTCCCAGTCTAAAAAAAAAGCACATTTGTGCCAGGAACTGGTGATTCACACCTATGATCTGAACTATGAAGAAGGCTGAAATCTGAGGATCACAGTTCAAAGCCAGCCCAGGCAAGCAAGTCTATGAGGAGTCTAATCTCCAATGAACCACCAAAAAGTCGGAAGTAGAGCTGTGGCTCAAGTGGTAGAGTGCTAACCTTGTGCAAAAAAAAAAGCTTGGAGACAGTGCCCAGGCCCTGAGTTCAACTCTAGAACAAGTTCAAAAAGAAAAAAGAAATGCAGAGGGTTGAAATAACCCTCTAAAAGTCTCTGAAATGGGTTGGGCACTATAATTCTAGCTATTCAGGAAGCTAAGATCTGAGGATCATAGTTCAAAGCCAGCCCGGGAGGAAAGTTTGTGAGACTTATCTCCAATTAACCACCAGAAAACCAGAAGTGATGCTGTGGCTCAAAGTTATGGAGCGCAAGCTTCAATCGTAAAAAGCTTGGGGAGAAGGGCTTAGTGGTAGAGTGCTAGGCCTAGAAGAAGCTCAGGGACAGTGCCCAGGCCAGGAGTTCAGCCTGTGAACTAAGAATGAGTCAATTATGTCTCTGGCACTGGGAATGCCCACAGTTTAATAGGCAGGTAGAAACAGGAAACAGCACAAGTGTGTTTGACTACATTCTTGTCCATTCATATTCTACCAATCCATGAAATGTGCACATGATCTAATTCTACCATCTAAGGTCGCCACTGTGCACCTAAAGCTGCTGATACAAAGGGAAAACAAGGAATGTCTACTTACTTGCAGCCTGGATTCGAGCCTTCCGGCTGACCACCAGCCCAAAGCGGTTCTGTGCCACACATTCATAGTCGCCCTCGTCTGAAGGGCTAGCTCCCCGCTCCAGCCGGAAGTGATGGATCAGCAAGGACCCATTGGCCAGCAGGGTGGTGTGGGAGTTGTCTGGCAACTCAGCCCCATTCTTTCTCCAAGTGACTCTCACTGGAGGGGTTCCTTCCACTTTACAGCCCAGCACTATGGGCTGCCCAGGGACCCCAACATCATCGCTAGGTTCCACAGTAAACGCCAGTTCAGCAGCGCGGCCCAGACCTGCATCAAGGGAGGAGAGGTTTATTGGGGGGGGTGTGCATAGTCGAGATGGGGTTCCTCAGGCAGAGACTATAAGTTTAAGACTTCAAGTCGCCACACTCCATCTCCAGGTTTCTGAGATATGAATAAGAATCCTCAGCCAGGCCGGTGCGGGTGGCTCACGCCTATAATCCTAGCTACCTACTGAGATCTGAGGATCACTATTCAAAGCTAAGACTGGACAGGCTGGATGGAGCTATGGTTCAAGTGGTAGAGCACCAGGGTCAGCTCTCAGACTCTGAGTTCACTCCCTAGTACTAGTGCACCTGTGTGTGCATGCACACACACACACACACACACACACGTAAAGAAAGATGACTATCCTTTGCACCGTTCTCTGTTTCACAGATAAGGAAATTGAGTTCCAGAGGTGTTTGGGGACTTTTCCAGGGTCTTAGTTGCAACGCCAAAAGAATCAAAAGCAGCCGGGCGCTGGTGGCTCACGCCTGTAATCCTAGCTACTCAGGAGGCTGAGATCTGAGGATCGCAGTTCAAAGCCAGCCTGGGCAGGAGAGACCGTGAGACTCCTATCTCCAATAAACCACCAGAAAACCGGAAGTGGCGCTGTAGCTCAAGTGGTAGAGTGCTAGCCTTGAGCTGAAGAGCTGAGGGACAGCGCCCAGGCCCAGAGTTCAAGCCCCACGACCGACAAAAAAAAAAAAAGAATCAAAAGCAAGGTTCATTCCAACACAGCGGCTGGTCTGTGGCAACCCAGGGTATGGCTTTAATCCAGACTTCCCCACATAGACCACACGTAGACTCACACCTGTAATCCTAGCTACTCTGGAGGCTTAGATAGGAAGATTCCAACTCAAGTCCAGCCGGCAAAGAAATGTGTGAGATTCTTCAACTAACCACCAAAAGGCCGGAAGTGGCACGGTGACTCAAGTGGTAGAGCTCCAGTCACGAGTGAAAAAGCTTAGAGCCAAATTGGGCGCTGGTAGCTCATGCCTGTAATCCTAGCTACTCAGGGGGCTGAGATCTGAGGATCGCCGGTCAAAGCCAGCCTGGACAAGAAAGTCTGTGAGACTCTTTAGCTCCAATAAACCACCAGAAAACCAGAAGTGATGCTATGGCTCAAATGGTAAGAGCGCTAGCCTTGAACTGAAGAGCTGAGGGACAGCGCCCCGGCCCAGAGTTCAAGACCCACAACTGACCAAAAACTAAAAGCTTAGAGACAGAGAGTTCAGACTCTGAGTTCAGGCACACAAATAGAAACTTTAAGGAAGAAAAATAAAGATTGTGGCCTAGTGTTGTTTGACAACAAACTGGAAGGCACTAGGAAGCCGCAAGTCCTAAAGAAATATAGTAATGAAGCATGCTTTGGGCTGGCAAACCCACCAGAGATCTGCTTTGATGCCTGGTGGGGAACACAGGTTGTGGGTCTAGTATTCCAGGGTACAGGCTAGGCTGTGGGGTTGCTCCTAACCCCATGCTCTGGGTGTTGGTCCTTTGGCCTTTGTTACAGAGAGCAAACCCCAGCTGAGAGTTTCCAAAGCTCAGCGGGAAAGGGTCCTAGAACTTTTTCTTGCAGCCAACCTCAGGGCTGTAGCAGAAGAGAAATGAGCTGGAAGATGAGAGGGGGTGGGGGGAGTAGGCTGGTCTGGGAATCAGAAAGGAGGAGCAAGCTCTCCATGCCCAGGCATCATGCCAAGTCACCAACTTCTCCGGCAAGCAACTTACCAGACCAGTTACCACTTCACTCCAGGAAGAAAAAGTGCCTGGCATAAAAGAGCAACTTCAGCACCGCCCCCGTCCCCCCGCACATTTCCAGGGAACTAGCGATCCTGCCATTCGCTGTCCATGTTGGAGGACATAGATGGGGAGATAGAAGGCGAGGGGGGGGCGCAGGGCTCCCGCATCCATCCTCTTCTCATCCAAACTCCGAGAAAACACTTAGCACCTTCCACATTTCCTGAGCCCCCCCCCCAAATCACCCCAGTAAAACCATGGGGAGGAGGGGGAGTAAAGTTTCTCCTCGTTATATGTTTTGCTTCTTGGAAGAGGACAGGAGAGCTCACAACCCCAACCCCGGGTGGGGTGGGAATGGGTGTGTTTGTGGGGCGTCTGCTGAGAACTTGGGGCGCGAGTGGGAAGGGAGTAGATCGGTTCCCCTCTCCCCGCAATGTGGGCCTATTGCGCCCACCGAGGTGGTGGTGGTGGAGCCGGAGCTCCAGGCAGGTGCAGCGGGACCGGTCCAGGAGCGCAGGCTGGGTCCCCAGGGCGCGCTCCGGGCAGGGCGGGGCCGCGGGCATCCCCGGGGCGCCCGGGGCTCCCCAGCTCCGGGGTTTCTCCGTCTCTCCCCACTCGCCGATCTTCCTCCTCCTCCATCTCCTCCTGCTCCTCTTCTTCCTCGGCAGGCATCGCCCTCCGCACCCCTTTTGGACCAGCCCCACCTCCGAGCCCCGACGCGCCCTCTCCGCTTGGGCTGCGCACCCCCATCCCCAGTCCCCGGTGCAGTCGGGTCTTCCCCCGCACCTCGGCCTCCCCGATCGCCAGTGCCAGCCCCGGGTCTCCCGGCTCCGGGCTCCCGCGTCCGACAGGTCCTGATCCCCGAGTCCCCCCCTCCACCCGCGATCGCCGCCGGGGGGATCCCGGTCCTCGGTACCCCCCCAAACCCCACCCGGGGCTGCAGCGCGCCCGGCTCACCCTGGCTTGGCGCGGGCAG